TGGTGTGAAAGGGGCAACAGTAGTCACTAGAGATGGGTGAGTCCTGATTCATCCGGATTATTAACCCGGATCCTAGTAATGAGCTGGTCGTGATGAGTCTCCCCTCTCGATTAACCCGAGTCCTTTGAGTCCTACACCTGGTGACGTACAAATTAAAACTATAAATTGCGTCACTCGCTACTCTCCTTATAACATGTAAAATCACATTACAATGTACCCCAGTCCATCTGCCTAGCCTTTAGCAAGTAGGATAACTGCCAGAAGTTATCGTTTGGCTCAGGGGACGCGGATCAGTGAAACTTCCTGCAGACTCGTGCGGACTCAGAGCCGTAACCGTAGCAGATCCAGAGATCCAGATATCCAGAGATCCAGATATCCAGGCAGACTCGTCATGCACAAGTCAACAGCAGACTCATATTTGCAAATCCTGACTCACTGAATCATGGGAACTTCCTTCACTTCCTGCAGACTCGTGGGGACTCAGAGCCGTAACCGTATAGCAGATCCAGAGATCCAGACTCGTCATGCACGAGCATAGCCGCGGGAACTGGGAAGTCATTTTACTTAGGGGGTGGGGACAAAAGTGGGGAGAGATTTTAACAACAGTAACATGACGTTTTTCAAATGTACACCATTTGCAGCCCAGCCTCCAGCACCCCTACTTCCCGCGGCTATTATGCACGAGTCAACAGCAGACTCAGAGATTCGCAAATCCTGACTCACTGTGCAAAACACAGCAGACTCGTGCGGACTCAGAGCCGTAACCGTATAGCAGCAGATCCAGAGATCCAGCAGAATCGCCAAATCGCAAAATAACCCTTTTTTTTTATCAACATTTTTTATTAAAGCAAAAGACACTGTGTAGCGGAGGTTAATGTAACGTTAGTTTAATATGCTCGTGAAATGCAACAACTTTTCGGTTTCACCGGTAGGATTTCTACGCTCTTGGTGATGCTGACTCATATGATCCGGATCTCTTCAATGACTGACTCGGAAGACTCCGAGTCCGTAAAAGGATCCGGATTTGCCATCTCTAGTAGTTACTTGTGTGTGACTGACCCGAGGTTGTGCCTCGTCGTTCTGATAGCTCCGCCCCTTCGCTCCAACCCCCCTCCCTCCCCCCACATCTACAGGTGAAAATTACTTTAGCGACACATTCATCGCAAGAAGTGTAGCAAAAGTCAAGGCTGCAGATTCGTGGATTTATACTGCCACAGAGCAGATTCGTGAAGTTGTAATGACTGATCTGAGAGGTTGTAATAACCAAGTTGCAGTTGTAATGGAAAATATATTTAAAAAATATATTTTTTTCTGCAAGTGAACATTTCATCACTAAGTTCATTTTTTTTCTACAAGCTACAAAACTTTTTTTTTCTTCTGTTACTTCAAATGTGGTTCACAGATACGTGGATATTTTTATACAAGTGTAAATGTATGCACACAAGCTCAGATTTGTTTTCTGCAAGTGCTCACATCAGGTTTTACACGCTCTCGCATTTTGCACCATATCTACCTTCATAATTAATTATAGTCATTACTTCATCTATTAAAACCAAACGTTTCTTGATTCTTTGTACAGTATGAAAAAAGGGTCTTCGTACCTCGGATTCCGTGTTGAAGTTCACTGCACTGCTGTTACTTTACATAAACAAATATATATATGTAAAGTAACGTGTTGAATACAAGCTTATTTACATGCGAACAATACCTGTCCTGTGTTGACGTCATGTGATGAGGAACTCTCTGTCATGTAATGACTTCACTGGCTTCCAGTAACTGCTGGAATCCACTTCAAGACAATGGCCAATCTGGCCCTTCCTACATCCAGGACATGGTTACACTGTACACCCAGCACGTGCACTCCGCTCTGCATCGGCGAAACAGCTCGCTGCACCCGCACTGCGAGGGGGACCCAAGTTCCCATCAGCAAAAACACGTCGGTTTGCTATCCTGGCTCCAAAATGGTGGAATGAGCTCCCCATTGAAATCAGGACAGCAGAAAGCTTACACATCTTCCGGCGCAGACTGAAAACTCATCTCTTTCGACTCCACTTCGAGCGATAGAATGACTAACAAAGCACTTATATACTAATAAAGAACTGGCTTATCTAAAGCCATGTGAGTAGCACTTGAAATGTTTTGGCTCTATGAAACCTGATGTACTTATATGATTCTGTTTTCTTCAAGTTTGTACCTTCTTGGTCGAATGCACTTATTGTAAGTCGCTGTGGATAAAAGCGTCAGCTAAATGCAATGTAATGTAATGTAATGTAATGATGAGGAACTCTCTGCCGCCGCTAACTTAACGTTCAGCAAACTGTCAGCAGCATACAGTCCAGAGAGAGGAACAGACACTAATAAATACAACTATTCTTCTGGCTAAAATACATATTATTAAAAGTCAATCAAGGAGTAATCTTAATTTAAAGTGTTTGAAGAGTAGATTAGTGGTGGCTCAACACGCCATGAAAGGGGAAATAATTAGCTCTAACGAAGAGTGGGATCAAAGGAACAATAAATATGCTGCCATGTTGTCCAGGACATGGTTAAACTGTACACCCCAGCACGTGCACTCCGCTCTGCATCAGCCAAACGGCTCACATCAGGTTTTACAAGCTCTCGCATTTTGCACCATATCTACCTTCATAATAATACACTTATATACATGCCATTAAACATTACCTCATGCTAGTTCACCTACAAATGCGTGAATTTGAGTGTTCTTTCCATGTAAAAGGTTTACATTTAGATGTTAACAAGCAACAAGCAACATTACTTTTTTGTCAGCTTTCTTATTTCGATGTGTTGAAGGTAAAGATTATTTAACACATGGTGAGAATTGCTACTATTCATCTCTTTATATTGTCTGGTAAAAGTGATTATTGCACTGAGACAACCGAACAGAGCAAGCTTCTATAGTTGCACTAAGTTTTGATAACAGTTAAATATTATTTTGATAATAAAATACATTTTAATGTTGATGAACTTCAGACTATTCATTCATAATCTGATTATTTTTGTAGTTTACTGTTGAAGTTTAAAAAAAACATTACAATAAAAGAATGATTATATCTATAGCCCCTAAAAACACACACACACCTCTTTAATAAACAACACACCTGCTCTATACGATAATGTAATGTTTGATGTTTCCTGTCATTTCTGTGAGGTAAGGACATGCCTGAAAGACACCGCTGCGTCACCATTTTCTCTTTCTTCGAGGGTCAAGAAGAACATCCAAGAGGAAAATGAGCACCTGATATTATGAGATTCAAGACCAATATTCACTCAGAAACTACACTTTTATTGTGAACACAAAGATCTCACAGTTTTGTAGTCTAACAGGAGTTTCATTAGTTTGTGACGCTGCACCTCAGAGAAGGTGTGGTTATAGGGTTATAAAGTGTGGCAAAAACTGGTTTCTGTCAAGTTGGTGTTTATGACATGCTGAGTGATTTCTGACTCACCATAAAATGTTATGACCCGCCCCTAAATCCTTTTGATGTGACAGGCGTCTGTGCACCTCTTTGTAGTCATTATTTTGTATGACTCGTTTGCTCAGCTGTTGTTGTTGTTGTATTGCACCCTATAACTTATTGTTCCTTACATAGTGGGTTAATAATACTTTATTGACCCCTTGTCTCTGCACCTGTTGTAGTGTCCCCCTAATAAACCATTACAGTCAATATTGTTTTATGACTTGTTTGCTCATCTATTGTTTTTGTATGTCCTATATCAGAACACCACCACCATCCCTACCCCCCTTCTTTTCCCTCCCCCCTGCTGATCCTATGAGCGAATAGGGCGTGGAGTTTTACCTGTGACTCTGTCTCTGCCAGGTGTGACAACTGTTGGTTTAAAAAAAAAAGAAGTAATCTTTCATATAATCTAGTTCCTTTCTAACACTATGGAGAAAAAATAATAGACATCTCTGAGGGTTGTAACATCAGTGTTAGTGAAAACCATTTCCTTACATTTAACAACTGACCCCTATTCTCTTATCAAGGTTTTTAAGATAACAGTGTCTCCCATTGTCTCCACTATTATGACCACTAGGGCAGCGGTTCCCAACCTGTGGGCCGCGGCCCCCTAGTGGTCCGCTAAGGCATTGCAAGTGGGCCGCCAAATATTTTTTATGTTTTATTTTGTACAGGCTAGAGACACAATCATGGACATGACAATAACATATAGGAGATGACATTCCAATCTCAGACACAAACAAAAACAGAAGAAATAAAGATACAGTCAGTAGGATCACTTCAACATTTCACAAACAAAAATAAGTTGACAATCAAAAACCACCAAAAACACAACATGGCAAACATATTTATTGTTCCTTCTCATTATTTCCCCTTTCATGGCGTCAAAGCCACCCTTTGATTTTTTGTGGCAATTATTTTTTCCAAAAGAAACTGTTTTTAATCTACTCTTCAAACACCTTAAATTAAGATTACTCCTTGATTGACTTTTAAAAATATGTATTTTAGCCGGAAGAATAGTTGTATTTATTAACTGTGTGTGTTCTTCAATCAGAACTTTATTTAGCCTCCGTATTGTTTATGGTTGAATGTGGGCCGCGAAAACATTTTTGATTCTTAAGTGGGCCCTGAGTTGAAAAAGGTTGGGAACCGCTGATCTAACGGGATCCTCATAAAATCCAAAATCCTACATGTTTAACTACATTTACAGTAAAAGTAGTGTTTTCCTTTACAATATGTGCATTGTTTTTGTATGCGTCCGGAAACAAATATTCAGGTGTAAAAAAAATGGAAAAAGAATAATCTTATATTTATTATAATTTTGTTATTACTACTTTATAAATGTGTAAAAGTGTAAGTTCCATTCTTGCCTTGTATTATTATATTGTACCTCACTTTCCCCAAGCTTTGTAAATAGACTTGACTTGGAGAAATAAACATGGTACAGTTCCAGTTGCTTTTACCTGCAAGGAAGTACAGTATACATAAATATATATATATATATAACTGAGTATATTGTACCTTGTTGTCTCCTCCTGAAACAGCCAGGATGTTTCCGGTGATGGACCAGCTGACGTGCCAAACCACATGGTTGAACTTGTGGAGGAGTTTAGCCGTCCAGGTGTTTCCAGCCGGGTCGTCACACGTCCAGATGAACACGCGTCCGTCCTGAAGAAGGGCAGAGGGAACAAATATCTTAACAAAAAGTATTCCCACTGATCTCTGTGCTATGTGAAGCAGAAGAGTTTTTATTATTAGTCAGCTGCTAATAAAACGTTTTCTTCTCTGACCAGCGTTGGAAGAAGTACCCGGATCCTCAACTGGAGCAAAATTAAAAATAATATTATCTTAAAATAGTTAAATAATTAAATAAAAATGTGTATCAAAAGCTTTCATAATGCAGAATGGCTCCTTCTTCACCGTTATTTTATTATATTATTCCGTTTTTATCAGAACCATTTCAATTATGAAGTTCGTCAATGTTAAACATATTTTGGATTTATTGCCTGCTGGGTGGATAAGTAGTTTAGAACTGCAATATATCAAACTGTATGAGCATATTATTATCTTTTTATGTATATAACTTGGTGTCATAAAACAGTATAAGAGTAAAAGGTACATTATTTCCCTGTGTGATGCAGTGAAGTAAAAGTATTACTAATGGAAATACTAAAGAAAGGTACAAGTTAAGTACAGGTGTGTCGACAAATATTCATTTACTGTACTGCAGAAAAGATTAATGCAGCGTGTTTATAATCAGATATGTTCTGATTTTCAGCTCCAATCATGCAACAGGTTCTTGAAAAAGCTACTGAGCGTTTATCTCTGGCGCCACCTAGTGGTACTTCCTGGACTTATAACTTCACACTTTTTTAATTGAATATGTCATTGTATACACAAAATGTTAATAATATCCCACTTTTATATTGTGTCAGCTGTAATTTAGCCCCTCAATAGTGTTTTATTTGTCAGATAATTTACGTATTTTTTCTCACGGTCAACTTCTATATCTTCACTCTTTTAGTTCTGTTTTATCTGCTATTTTCAGATGCTTATATTGTATAATTGTTTACTTTCCACACTTTTTTATTTCTAATTATGTGCAGTACTTGTTTTACATGCTGCTGGGATAAATAAAGTGTTTCTAATGCTGCGTTCACACCGGACGCGATGCGAATATTCGCTTCGCTCTAATCGCTCCTATCGCATCGCTCTAAATGCTGGAGTTTCACCGCGGCTGCCAGCTGTGTTTACTCGCATCATTCAAACAAGACGCGCTGGCTCGGGAGCTACAACTACAACAAATGAACATATTTTACCGTGATTAAATTGTAATACACGTTTCTAAATGATGCCGAAGTAACAACATACTGATACCGGTTAGTAACAACCATGAATTAATGCTTTGACAAGTCTGCAGCAAGACGGCAGGCAAAACACCTTTTAAAATGCTTGTTTTCTGAATGAAGATCGGGTCGACCAGGCTAAGCTAACGTTGTATATGCTCATTCCACACTCATAACAACGGCCTACAGACATAAATAAACCAGCGACTGTATTCACCATGACACAGACAGTCTGTGGTTTGTACTTGTTTAACTTTTGTCCAGTTTCTGAACACATATGAGGAGCTGTGAGCTCTGTGTGCTAACTGCTAACAGCTAACGGCTGATGTTGTGTGGTTGAACGTCAGTGACGGCAGGCTGAGATCCTCACCGCTGATTGGCTTCCGCGAGAACGCGTCACGTGAATTTGACGCTCGAGTTGAAAAAATTGAACTCTCGCGTTTAACGCGGCACCGTTCAATCGCCTCAATCGCGTGATTCGCGCCGCGTCCACCGCTTCATGCGCGCCGTCGGAGCGAATTCGCGTCTGTCCGCGTCTCTGCATTGACTTTACATGTAATCGTGCCGCCCCCAAACATCGCATCGCGTCCGGTGTGAACGCAGCATTATGTCATTTTATCTGTAATAACTGACCTGGGAGCAGCTGGCGATGGTGCTGGTGGGCAGCCCGATGGACGGAGCCCAGCCGACGTCTCTCACCCAATCACTGTGAGCCTCCAGCTTCTGGTCCTCCTTCCACTGACCGTCCTCCTCTCTGCAGAGAGCAAAGTACACACATCCTTTCCTCAAGTAGAAGTACAGATACTCGTGTTTAAAAATACTCTGGTGAAAGTAGAAGTACTGACTAAACCTCTTTACTCAAGTAAAAGTAAAGAGGCTTTGAAATGTACTTCAGTAAAAAGTACCCATAACTGCCATCTGTTTTAAAGAGTACCTGACCTCCCTTTATATTAATAGAACAATAATGTCATTGTTAGCTAATGAATGTTTCCATGCTGAACAACGGCAACATGACAACGTTCTCATTGGTCCCTCTTCTTTAGAGAAGACCAGGAAAAAAACTGTAACAACATTTGAAGTTGGTCCTGGTTGAATTTTCACAATGGGAACAACGGCCTTGTGTTAACATCAGGACATGTAGTAATAATTTGGTACTTCCACACCCTTTACTATTCATCGGATCATACTGACAGACAGAGATTCTGTTTAAAACTGTAAAGACTTTGGTTAGCTCATGCAGCTCATCACCATCTATGTTTTCTTTCAAAAAATAGCGCACCTGTCCATGCAGTTTGTTTACAAGTGATACAAATAAATATGATGTGGGAACCGAAACACACATTGTGATATCAGCAGAATTTTTCATTTATTTTTCTTCATTTAATCGTTTATTTGAAGACACACATTGATGAACATTTAAAACAAATAATGCTTTAAAAACGTAAACATGCCGGATTTTAGCTTTGAGCTAGTTTCCATCCGTAGTCCCTCACATACAACATTTAAGAACCTGACATTTATATACATAGCAAAATAAATACATGATATGCAGAAAGAGCATGAGCGGCATATAAACATTTACCACATGGCAGTACATGAATGTTGCTGTTTCTCGACTTGAATTTTGTGAAGCAACCTTGGCTCCTTTATATACAGCATGTAGGAGTTCAATATGGATAAAACATTTTTAAACTTGTATTATTTTAACAACATTTCTTGTTAACAGTTGTTAAAAAACTCTAAAAAAACAAACTGCATGACTACATTAACCTAATACAATTATTCATGGAGTTTATAATGACACAGAAAGCACAACATATCATTTCATGATTATTCTTTATTGCAGATAACAAAAAGCATTGTTAGTAAAAAAGCAGTGATATACTGTAATGCCATGCGTCTGTGAATATAGTTTAAATGTATAGTTTGGTTATATTGAAGAGATATGAGGAACTTATCCTTTTCTGTTTGGCTCAGAAACATATTGCTGTAGACGTGACAGTCTGCAAAATGTATTTTATCCAATTAAACAAATATTTTCTATATTTAGAATCTTTTAAGTGCTTTACCTTGAGGATAGTTGTCAGATGACTTGTCAGATACTTTATTTGTTTGTTTTTGCTGAATCCGAACTAACCGAAGTCACACAACAACAGAAAAACAAACTAACCACACAACTTGTTTTTCCCACCAAATAGTTAAAATACTTAACGTCTTCACCTTCTACCTCATTTGACAAAAATGTAGATTCTATGAATTTAGGTTAAAATATTTTTCATTTAACAAAATGCGTCCTACATTACTGAAAATTGTTCTGTTGCTGAACTTGAAGTTGCATCAACAACATCAAGAGGCAATACAAGCTCTATTCTGTTCATACACTTAACCAGTGGCGACTCGTCACCAGGGCAAGTCCAAAAATAATAATTCCAAAAATATGTATGAAATATATGTTAAAATATATTTAAAGATCATGTTTAGTCGTCTGATTCGTCTGTAGGCCTACATTGCTGTTTTAGTCTGTGTTCTTCTGATTAGTGTCCACAGTGTGCCTATGGAGCCGTGTTGAGCGATGTGGGGAAAGCCCCGATCTAGCCCCTCTCTCTGCTGTCAAAATGAATGGGTGCTGTAAAAACGACACTGCGTATATGCTCAGAGTCTTTTTGTATTCAATGTGTGCGGCAAAAAAATAATCACAAGTGGGGATGAGTGCTGGCAACCCCACAAAAATGTCATCTCATAATTCAGAGAGCTGATTGGCTGTAAGTACGTGTGCCGCGAAAAGTGTAGTTGTGAAGAGGAGACGAGAGAGAGCAGCGTATAGCGATTACAATCAGTAACACAGAAAGAAAATGAATGAAGTTGACCATTTACTTCAGCGTTTGATGTCATATCTTTTGATGATCTTCTGTGTTCTATAGACTATTGCTCTGCTGGATCGATTGATATTGTGACCTCAGCGATGAGTGTCTGTGTTTTCCTTATATTCACAGTCTATGGTGTTTTAATGCTGAAGCATTACGGTTTTGTAGCTTGTAGAAAAAAAATGAACTTAGTGATGAAATGTTCACTTGCAGAAAAATATATGTTTTTTAAATATATTTTCCATTACAACTGCAACTTGGTTATTACAACCTCTCAAATCAGTCATTACAACGTCACGAATCTGCTCTGTGGCAGTATAAATCGTCAAATCTGCGGCCTGGACTTTTGCTACACTTCTTGCAATGAATGTGTCGCTAAAGGGAGGGGGGTTGGAGTGAAGGGGCGGAGCTATCAGTACGACGAGGCGCAAGCTCGGGTCAGTCACACACAAGTGACTACTGTTGCCCCTTTCACACCAACGCAGCTCCCGTTAGCTCCGTGCTTCGATCACAAAAACAACAATGGGGGACATGCGTCGGGTCGATGATCGTGTTACTTTTAATCATACGAAGCCAGATTAGATTAAATAACTAGGCCTACTTCTCCAACCTTATACTTTTTTCCAGAGTGCCGTGGTTCATTGTTTATTAATGTGTTTCAGCGGCATTTACCGACCGCTGCAGTGCTGACTGCTCTTCCACTGGAGTTTATGCTCCCGTTAACTCACAGCAGCGACCGCTGTAAAGTAGGCCTATTCACTGTCTGACTGTCACACAAGCAGCTGATACATATCCCCAATTCCCCACATGTGTGTCAGTCTGAATTGACGCTGTTTGGCATCCCAACGCTGTTATGAAAGTTTCTCTGGTA